TAAAGTTAAATGCTTTTGTATTATACATGATTTTGAATTTTTATGAAATTTCGTGTATTAATCAATAGTATTTCGTAAATAATCTTGAATTGTGAATAAAGAGTTTAAGGTCAATGTTAGGGTAAATGATTGAGACTACTTAACAGGAGCATACACAACTCTAACAGGCTTTTCGAGAAAAGCTCTTTTTTTTCTTCATTAGAGCTAAAAACAATTATTTGATGACGAGCTAGTGAATTATTAAACTGTGAAAGATATATTACGTTAATTTACCAATATATTACAATTATTATTATTATATATCCAATATAGACTTATTTCTAATATATTATTGATTAATGAATAGAAATGCTAACCTCTGCAGGAAAGAATGGTGAAAACAAAGAGAATGAAATAAACACCATGAAGCCGCAAAGACCATTGCTGGCGTAGATAACTATGTTGTTAAGAATGTGAAGAATCCCGGGTGAATCACCTCTGGAGGAACACTTTTCCTCTTTCTCGCTGATTCGGGTGCTGCCAGTTATCAGGCTTTCCTTCTCAACATCGGATCGAATTTCTGAACTGTCGGTATTGGTCATTTTCCTTCTGAATGGATGCTGCTATCACTAAATTGTCGAAAACTTATTGTAACTCTCAACAATAGCTTTCTTCTCAAAGAATGTTATAAAAATTCATCAACGAGTTACGAAAAATTAAATCTTAGAAAAATTAAATCTTTCTAGTTGTTTTCGGCGTCCAAACTGTCTTCTTTGTTTCTTTCCCGAAAAAGGCCCTCAATAAATCAAATCTGAGAACTGGTCCAGTTTGGTTCCTACTCGTGGGAAGTTTGGAGAGGAGATAAAATGTGTAAGAGTCGCTGGAGGCGCAGCTGAGAGCATCTCTAGCTTCTTGAGCACTATTACAACTTTGCAAGGACTTCATATCTTGATGAAAACACAGCTGACGAATAAAACGATTGGTTCATATGTCAGCATGCGTTCATCGAGATATGAAGCACTCGGATAGTTTGAAGAGCATTCCAGTAGCTAGAGTTGCAGTTTATTTCAATGATATGAAAAGCTGCCTCCAAATCCAATTATAATGGGGGG